ACCACCTCGTGGCAAAATTCATCGCTGATCCAGCAGATGAACCAGACCTGCTTCCCCCTTTCGCCGCCTACGGTTTAGGGTACTAGTTACTAACTGATGAATATATTATAATAATCATCTGCTGGACCAACCAATCCCATGGCGGCCGTTTCACCTCTCAGTCCTACTGAAAAAACCAAAGAGATCAGACTCAAACCCTAAAGCCGAAAACCCGAAACCGCAATTCCAGGCCCTGTCCTGCGGCAGTCATAACCCGAAACTAAACACCCCGCAACCCGTCTCCTGGGCTCTTGTTAAGGAAGTTCTTTAGGGTTCAGGGTTTAGGGTTTAGCCCTGTAAAGTTTTTGAATATACTCGCAAATAACATCTTCTTAAGCTCCGGAAAAGAAACTGTAAAATGCCCAACACACCTACGTGGTAGTTTCAGTTACACATACCCTAAACCCACCTCAAATCAACATCCTTAACAAGAACCCAGTCTCAGTGAATATCCAGGCTCCCCAGCATTGGAACACAGGAGTTCCCTTGTCCCACGGTCCAAATTCAAGCTTTGACATACCGCCTCGATACAGTAAGCTAACCTTATATATGATCATAAACACCCTAAATCCCTAAACCCTAAAGCCGAAAAGGAACCCTCACAAGAAGCCCTAAACCCTAAACGCCAAGACCTAAAATCCCATCCTAAACCCTGAACCCCCAGCCCTAAAACCCCGAAACTCCCCTAAACCACCAGCCCTACACCCCGAAACTCCCCAATTAAACCCTAAACCCCAAGCCCTAAACCCTAAACCCCCAAAGCCCTAAACCCTAAACCCTGAACCCTAAACCCCGAAATTTCCCAATCACGAGGACCGGGCTCCCGTGACATCGGCCTTCAAGCCGTCTTGGCCATTGCTGACCTTCTAGGGCTTATATATAAGGTTTATAGGGCTCAGGGTTTAGGCTTGAGGGCTAAGGGAAAAAAAGGGTTTAGGGCTTAAGGGAAAAAAAGGGTTTAGGGCTTAAGGTTTATAGGATTCAGGGTCCAGGGTTTATAGCTTAAGGTATATAGGGTTTAGGGTTTAAGGTTTATAGGGCTTAGGGTTCTTATTGCTGACCTGAGGGTAGAGGAAGTAGAGTCGATGAACTGAGGGCTTTAGCTTTGTTTTTGAAGGGGGGTGTAGGGTTTAGGGTTTAGGGTTTTGGGGGTTTAGGGCTTAGGGTTGGTGGTCTTTCTGGGCAGCGCTGAACACAAGTCGCATATCGACATGGCAGCCTTCAGCGACAGCTAGACTCTTAAACATGCATCGCCAAATAGTCGTGGACTATTTAGCTGTTCATCTACGGTATGCTGGTGTTCATGGTTTTGGTTAAGATGTGTGCTCCATGCTGCTAAGAGCGCACATCCCAAAACCCCAAACCTCTTGCTCAAGCCAGCAGTAACTTTGTCATCGCCTAAACCTCAAACCCTAACCACAACCCGGAATTGCTGGGCCCTCGGGCAAACAGCTTTAAACAAACGTCTCCCGTGCCAACGGTAGAGGGTGGCAAAGGCAGCAGTCGTAGGAACATGAGTAGCAGTCGTCACAGATCCTCTACTAGCACTAGAACTAGTACCAGTACTGGTAGTCGTCGTCGTCGTCGTCGTGGTCGTCGTCGTCATCGTCGTCGTCGTCGTCGTCGTAGTAGTAGTAGTAGTAGTAGTCGTAGTAATAATCATAATGATAATGGTGGTTGTCGAAGTAGTAGAAGTAGTAGTCGTCGTCGTGGTGGTGATGTGGTGGCGGTGGTGGTGTAGTCGTCGTCGTAGCAGTCGCAGTGACAGCAGCAGCAGCCGTAGCAGAAGTCGTCGTGGTAGTGGTGGAGGAGGAGTGTTAGTCGTGTTAGTGGTAACGGCAGCGGCAGTGGCAGTGGTAGAGGTAGTGGTCACCGGGGTCGCGGTAGCGGTAGTGGCAATCATATGCTATGCTGAAGCCGCCTCTTCGCGAACATCCTCCACAATGCCACGCTGCAGCCAGTGCTTTTGCTGGAAGCACACCACCTGCATTTAGGGTTAGGGCTTTAGGGATTTAGGGTTTAAGAATAAAACCACATGCAGGCGGCGTCAGAACTCCTTGGAAAGGCGCACTGTGTACTCCGAAGAACAGGCACAGTTTTCTCAAACATAATAAACACCGCGACGACAACATCTCTCGAAGTTCCTACGGGCAGGCCCTAAACCCTAAACCCTAAACCCTAAACCCCAAGAATTTTCACATTCCATACTCGGCACACGGGAAGAGCCTACAACCTAGTTTGAACTGGACGTCTGATGAACTACCCACTTTTAGGGTTTAGGGTCTTAAAGATCTTAGGGTTAGGGTTCAGGGTTGAGGTTTTTTTTTTAAGGACTTTCACCCAAGCCACGGGTCTCTGAGATGTCTGGACAAAACTCGATTCCCTGGGGCACTTGACTCGAAACCCCTGCATCCCAAGCCAAAAAAACCCTAAGTCTCTAAAGGAACCCTCAGAGGGAGCCCTTAGAGGAAGCCTTAAAGGAACCCTTGAAGGAAGCCTTAAAGGAACCCTTGAAGGAGCCCTTTTAGGAACCCTTAAAAATGAACTCCATTTAAGGAGCCCCTAGAGGAACCCATAGGGCTCAAAGAGTTTAGGGGTTTAGGGGTTAGGGGTTCAGGGTTTAGGGGTTTAGGGTTTGGGGTTTAGGGTTTTAGGGTTTGGGGTTTAAGGTTTTAAGGTTTAGGGTTTTGGGAAGTGGTCCTCGTCTCCAGGCTCCGGTGGTCTCATAATGGAATAGAAGCCCGCACGGGTGGCATCCTCGCCCGGATGTTCTGTGGCTCTTTTCTGGGCTTTGGGTTTATAGGGTCTAATACTCAGGGCTTAGGGTTTAGAGTTCAGGTTTTAGAGACTATAGGACCGTATCAAGGGGTCCTAGATTGTCCATGGACGTTCTACAAATATCTGAAATCCCTAAGGCTCCATGTGCCTAAAATGGGTATACTTATGCCTTAAAGGGGTCCCTATATAGGTTCTTTGGGGCCACAATCTATACTATATTGGCACATGGAGCCTTTGGGAATTATACAATTGCTGTTGCACGCCGTATTCGTGGTAAGGTGTCGGCTTCAGCGCTTGGTCTTGAGACTTTAGGACTTGGAGTTTAGGGCTTAGGGGTTCAGGTAGAGTTAGGGAGTTTAGGGTTTGGGGCTTTAGGGTTGGGGTTTAGGGGTTTAGGGGTTTAGGGGTTTAGGGTTCAGGGGTTTAGGGTTTAGGGCTTTGGGGTCAGAAGCCCGCAGTCCCACCGAAATGGGCACGTGACGGTTTCGGAATTTTCACTTGGATGCCTTCAACCAACATTAGATGGCTGTACTGAAGATTCCCGACTCTTCGACCATCTGCAAATCTATGAGTCAAAGAATCTGCGAACGTGCAAGTATCTGCGAAATTGCGAACCTGCGAATCTGCAAATCTGTGCTTCTGCAAATCCGAGGAGTTATTTATTTTGTATTTTTTGGAGGTGCACCAGACGTATATGCACATGTGTATGTATATATATATATGCATGTGCGTTTATGTATGATTCCTCCAAGACATACGCACACGTGCACACTCACACACACACACAGAGAGACACACAGAGACATGCACTCACTCAGTCTCCACACACTCACTCAACTCAGCTCAACTCACTGTCTCACTCCCTCACTTGCTCACTCACGCAGCATCTAAACTAGTGCATGGCAAGTTCTGTGTCGATTTTGCGGCACCAATCTAGTATGGAGCATTGAGAGAATCTTGCGGGAAACCTACACCCCAAATGCTTTTCTCTCTCCCGAATTGAAGACCATGTGGGTCGTTCTCTAAACTAGGGTCCCTTTTATTGGGTCCCCAAATGTAGTATATATGGCACCCTTATAAAAGAGGACCCTAAAAGGGACCCTATTTTCGAGAACTACACATTGACATGCGTTTTCAAAACACAACAAAAACTCCTGCTGGCAAATTCTCGGTTCAGGGGCGCAGCAGTCTCAGGTTGCCAATCTGACACACCCAGAGAGCCCAATACGCCTTAATAAAGGAATATACCTTAAATTATAGGGGCCTTAATATTATGATTCAAGGTATATTCCTTAATTAAGGGGTATTGGGTTCTCTGGGCATGTCCCACTGCGGTGGCGGTAACGACAACTCTCGCAACAGAAAAAGATCTTCTCAACCGGCTGGCAATAAAAAATCTTCATGATGACCCCTAAGCTTGCAAGGACCTTATAGCTAGGACCCTAGACCCCTTAAGGACCCAATAATGAGGTCCCTGGAAGCCTAGATGACGAGCATTAGAACATGGGCCTCCCAGGCAGGCAGACAGAGCACCTCATGCCATACCGTAAACCCTAAACCCTAAACCCTGAACCCTTTCGGCACCTTTCGGTTGATGGTTAGGCCTCGGCTCAAGCGGAAACCTACCGTCTCCAAGACGTTCACGCCCCAGGAGGAAAGGCCAAGCAGGCCCACTCGCGTCCGTTTTGAACGCATGCTCCCCCGTCAAACTGGAGAGCAAGCCAGCTTTCAACTCTTCTGTACAAATTCGGACAAAGCGGCACATAGCAAGAAGACATCTTGATTGCCAGGGCACTCGAGCAAGGTCGAACTTCCTGTACTCCCATCATTCCACCCACCGCATGAAGCAAGGCCTTGATGTGTTGCCGGAACATCCGCACCCTTTCAGAAAAACTGCAACAATGTAGCTGAATATCCCCAGGGGCATAGCTTCGCCACGACCTCGCCTTGCTGTCATACACCGGCGGTATCACCGAAGTATCAAAGACAAAGGCAATATACAATTGCGCACAAGAATACCACTGCGGCCTCGCTGGCTCCTGGGCAAGCTTGCGCAACCATTCATGCAGTCGTAGGGCATAGTCACCACCAAAGCGTAGCAGGTGAGCGGGAACAGGGCCAGGCCAAGCCGGTACAGCAAGCATCGGGCCTTCAGGAGGATCTGGACCACCAACAGCAGGCGCCGGGCTGCGTCGCACCGCCGCCCGCGCGATGTCTCTGTGCATCTCCAGGACCATCTTTCCCCTCATGGACTGCAGGGCGTAGTCACGACGAACCTCATTCCAGAGCTCCCAAAACCACTCCGGCCGAGCCAGATTGGCCGCCTCAGCCGCCTTGTCAACAGCACTATTCCCCGCCAATGCCCATTCCTCCAGGACAGAGGAGGTGTCTTGCTCCTCCACATGCGCCATGACCTTGCAGATTTGCGTGCCACAGGGCACCCGATCAAGCAGTGCCAAGATGCGTTTCCAAATGTCGGCATTGGCCATCGAGGGCCTCCAGCTGAAGTCTCCGTGCAGCATCCTTCCAACCTTTCGCACCACACCAGAGCAGTCACACCAAATTGTGACCGGTTGTTGCAGCTGCACCGCAAAAGTGAGCGCAGAAAGCACAGCCATGGCTTCAGCGCGGAACGCAGTTTGGACCAACCCTGGCAGCGGTCCCGAAGCAAGAAGGACCGGTGTCCGGCCGTCAAGGCTAGCGTGCATGACCGCCCATGCAGCCAACCGCAACTGAGGAATGCGAGGCAAAAGGCAGCTGCCATCGGTAAACAGCTGGAGCACCGGCTCATGGACGTCAGACCTCTGAAAAGCATCCGAGTAATCAGGCAGCTCAGCAAGGGAGCGCCACAACGCAAATTCGGTCGCAGAGCCCATGCATGCAGCGATTGAGCATCAGGAAGAGCTCCCGCATCAGGAAGGCCACCACGATCCAGGCTGGCTCTTTGGTCGGCAAATGCAGGACAGTGCCAGACACGGTGCCGAACACTGTCACGGGCGCCGCAGTACTTACATGCAGACGTCTCGGGCTCGCCATCACCAAAGTGCCGCAGTGCATCCTGGGTATAGAACACCCCTGAATGGGAGTGCAAGGCATGCAGTCGGTCAGTAGGTTCCCAGCCTTTCTTGAGAGAGCGCGTCAGCTGGGGGTCCACCTGAGAAAGGCCGGCAAACCCAGGGCGATCCTCAAGGTCACTGCAGACTCGCCGCTGCCAAGCAAACGTCAACCGCAGCTGGAGTTCCTGTGGAGAAACAGCCCACGGGTCAAAGACGGAAATGGAGTCTTCCAGAGACTGTTGCTCCGGCAACCAAGCCATGCCAACAGCATGACACCGTTCCAAGAAAACCTGGGCCGGGCCCGGGGCCCAACGCCTATCTCCGGCAAGAAGCTCGGCCAACAGTGCACTGAAACGCTCTGGAGCGGCAAAGGCCCGAACATCACGGAAAGAGGCGCACAGAGCATAGAACTCCGGGTCACACAGTGGAAACTCCACAAGGCTCAGCACTAGCACCGGGTTCATGCCAGGCCTGCCGATGCCAAGGCCACGAATGGCTCCCGACCTGAGCTGCTCAAAGTTGGTGGCGCCCAAGTTAGTACTGGAGATGCCATGAAGGGCCTTCGGCCAGGCGGCGGCCACCAACGCACGGAACTTCTGGTTGAGCGGTGCCAAAGAGCTACGCAGGCGCGGCCACAACAAGTCAAGAGTGAGCAGCCGTTGCTTAATTGTGTCATTGGTACGTGCCCGGGTAAACGCCTGATGGCCTCCAAGGTTGCGTGCCGCATGGACCACTTGCCGGCCCTGCTGTCTGAAGTGCCGCCTTTCCGCTGCAGAAGAGGCCCACAACACCATCTTGCCAGGGTCAAGGGCAAGATCCCATGCTTGAGCAAAAGCTTCCACCCGGGCCACAGCGGCCAGAACTCGCGTTGCAGAATTGGCTTTGACCTGCCAATCATCAACAAAGGTCTCCAACAGGCCGCGAGTGGACGGACCGTTGAGGTGCCTATGCAATGCCAGATCTACAAGGGCCATGGCCACGCAAGACAAGGCATCCCCTTCAGGAAATCCAGTGAAGCTGGGAAGGGCCGGCCCCACCGAACCCCGAATCCGGAATCGCCGCGACAACATGGTGACTGCCCCACTCCAAGCTTTGACCACCTCGGCTGGGATACCATAGTGAAGCGCGAGGGCGAACACAGGCGTCCGGGGCAAGGTGTTAAAGGCTTTAGACAGGTCCAGGAACGCACCTGCCACCGTCTCATCCCAGATCGCTGCTTCCTCAAGCTCCAGCTGTAGCTGAAACCAAACTGCGCCTGCAGTCCGCCCAGGCAGGTTGCCATGGAGGTCTGCCGGGGCAATCGCAGCAAGGTGTTTCAAGGCCGCACGTGCTCGCAGGGACGACCACACCCTGTAGGGCAAGGGCAAAACGCAGATCGGACGAAAATGCCCCACCGCCTCAGCCTCCTCCGTTTTTTCCACCGCCGTCACCGTGGCATTTAAGAGTTGCCGCGGCCACCGACCCGTAGCTTCGGCTCCATGGCAGAGAGCAACCAGCTCTTCCGTCAGCGCGGGGGAGAGAGCCATCAGATCTTGGCGTGACACTCCATCCGGGCCCGTGGCCGTGTGAGCATGCTTCGCCCGAACCTCCGCGTACCAATCACAGACCGTTAATGGCACACAGGTGTAGGCAGGAACCGCGGTGGCAGGCTCCACCTCCGTGAGCTGGGCCCAACGGGCAGCATCAATGCTTTCATGCCGCATCCAGAAACGAGACCAATGCTGGCCAAAAGCACGAAACAGCGAAGGCAGATCTGCCACGATCCGCATCTGGGTGACCTTGTCCCCGGGCTTAGCTGGGGTGAACGCTCCCCACAACATGTCCGGCTCCACGTGGTGAACCTCCACGGGACTTTGGTTCAGGTAGAAACCGCCAGAAGGGTTCCACTGAATCGGCCGAGTTAAGACAACCGCACCATCCTCAGGCTGCACCTCAGCAACATCGACCGACAAGGAATCCACAATCGACTCCACCGGTTGGGACCGGGCAGCACGCAAGTCCCTGAAGATCAGCATCGGGTGTTCGACCCGCCGAGCCGCCGCCTGCTTTTGCCTGGTCCGCGTGAGCTCACGTTCCATCTGCTGCACGTTGGCTTGAAAAGTCCTAAAGAGGCCTTCAGCGAGGGAAGGGCACGGCAGATGAAGAGGCACACGGGGCGGATCAGCATCCTTCTGCACAGCCCGGTGGGGCCAGTACTCAGCGAAAGACGGCCTAAACCCAGCAGCGGTGCGAATTGAGTGCCACAGACCAGCTCGGTACACCTGGGCCGCATCAGTGGCCGTATTACGGGCCAAGGATTGCCAGAGGGCCTGCAAGCGGCGCAACTGCCGGAACCACAGAACATAGCACTTATCGCTCCCCACAAACCCCGGCTGAACTTCACCCTCCCGCCCCGGAGGAACAAGATGGGCAACACGCGTGTGCAGGCCAGTCCCACGCGCTCCAAAGTATGCCGAATCACTATACTTTTGCCTGCGTTGGGCAGAAACGACTACATAGGGGGGTTTAGAGGGTACGTCGGGGATTTTGGCACACATACATGTAGGTCCTCCGGGAGGCCTTTTGGGTGTCCTGCAGTGGCATTTAAAGGCCCCCCAAGGGTTTACCAATTGGGACTTTAAAACATGCAGCAATCTAGCTACGTGTCCAAATTTGGGTAGTTCAGATCATAAATGATGCCGTTATCCCTTGGAAGATCATGGTCAGGATGTATATGACCAAATTTAACCAGAACCCTCTCAAGGAACTGTAGTCGAATGACACCCATTCATGGAATAGCATCCTCGATTCGAAATCTTTTTCGCTTCACCGACCGCAGGCTCCAAGCCGCAAGAGGTAACGGAAAAGCATCTTCTCTTCCAGCGCATTCGAAGACATATTCTGAGCTAGTTTTTTCCACTGGAGAACACAGTCCTCGTCGACGAAGGCATGAAAGCTTCTTGCTGATATCAGACATTTTTGCATGTCTTCGTTCAGATGCTTGAAGACCTGAACTTGCATATGGAAACTTTCTGTTCGCACGAAATATGTGAAACCATATTATAAGGACGAGCTGCATGCATTTTTGGTAAGACCTTCCAACGTAGAATACTGTGAGTCGAAGCATAAATCGAGAGCTTCTGGGCGTACTTGAGGTACTCATCTCCATGATTGCAAATACTTCGTGCTTGCTCGGGCAGCAGGTAGCGTCTGTCAGCTGCCTCTTGTTCCAAGAACCAATAAACAAGCTCTCGTGTAGCACATGCAGCAAGAAGCACTTCTGCAAGCGGTTCACGGTTTGCAGCTTCGTCGAGCTGCAGCTGCTTTAAAAGGCATACATCCAAATAGGCAAGGAACACTCTGATGTTCCACGCTTTCAGTGTTAAACAGACGTGGTCGCCTGCATCTGCATCTCGCAGCATCCCCGCTGTAATAATTGGGACGGAATGCCTTCGAATCGTTTTAAATTCTTGAATTTACTACACACACACACAGCACATCAATCTAGCATTTTTATATACCAGGGTGCTCCACTGGGGGCCTTTGTGACCGAGCCCACCGTCTAAAATCAACACTTGCTGCTCGAAGCCCAGTAGACAAATCGGGATGGTTGCCCCAGTAGCCTAGCTTGCACTTGTGACCCTTATTAGGGTTTAGGGTTTAGGGCTTAGGGTTTATATACCCATATAGCATAAAAAAACCCAAAAGCTTACCTTGCAAGTCTAGCATCCTAAAGACAAGAGCAACTCCAAACAGCTTCCAGCATGTGTCTGTCCAAAGCCCAAATTTACTGTATGCATGGAACAAAATTTGATTTGGTCAGATGGTCGGAATCCGACCAGGGTAACCAACGGGTTGATGGTGTCGTTCGCCATAGCTTGTGCTATGATGTTTGCATCACTCCGCCGGTCATGGCATCGCAACAGGTTTGAAGCCCATCTTAGATGAGCTCGAGGATTATGTTCGAATACACCGGGTACGCATAAACTTATCTAGTTAATATTAATATAGGTTTTAGATGTATAGACCAAAGGAAGTATTACTCATGATGCTAATTTCGATCCCGATGCCCATCAGTTCCGCTTTGCTTTGCAAAACATTGGTGACAGATATAAGGAGCTTTCCAATGGTAGTTCGCCTTGAACCCCCTCCAGTCGCCGCGGTGCTGCGTCACGACGCAGCTCCGACCTATAGCTAATCATGATCAGAGCAACCAATTATGTATAACCACCCAACCATAAACCCCAAAACCCTAAACCAGGCCTATATATACAACACCGAATACAGGATCCAGCTGCATAAAAATACCCAAGAAGGCTTAGGCGATGATCATGTTATCTGAGAATTCCAGCTATGGATCTGCATATTTAGCCGAAGCTACCTCCGTCGATCAGCTGCCCGGCCTTTTTGGTCATGTTCTTCGGGAGGGGCTGGTAGTCTGGTCCGGTTGTTGGATGTCTGCCGCTGTAGAGAACCTGGGCTTGTGGAGTTTGGGGATTTAGGTCTTAAGGGTTTTCTTATTAGTTTAGATCTACATACTTTGGGATTTCGGGTTTAGTTTTGAAAAGCCCAGAATTGAAAGAGTTTCGGGGTGTAGGGTTTATTCGATTAGGGAGTTTTGGGCTTCAGGGCTTATAGGTCTTGTTGGCTTTGGTGTTTAGGGTTTAGAAGCTTAAAGAGTTTTGGGGTATATAGGGCTTCTGGAGTTTAGGGAGTTTTGGCAAGTTGGGGTTCAGGTTTTGTTTATGATAATTTGCAAATATGAAAAGGTTGCATCAGCGTTAAGGACCAGGATCATTCAAACTCCATGCGAGGGCTCTATAAACTGGCCGTAACGTCTGGCCACCAGGAAGGCAGAGGTGCTCGCGAATCGTAAACAGCGGGTAGCGGTGCATTTGCCGGTCTTGGATAGCGCTAGCTAGGCAAATAATAATCTCCCTCGGGGAACCCAAATTCGACCAACATATATAGGGCCACATAGAAAAAATCCCTAGTACCTCAACTATAGAAGCTACAGCATTATCGACGGCCAAGCATCATTTGGGTTCGTGGAGTATCGAGTTCATTGTATACAGGACCAGTTTTTCGCCTTTTTTATTGAACCGGGCGTCATCGCCCCACAAGCCCAATGGCACAGATCGTTGGTCGAAGCCAATCGGGGGTGTCTCGTGGTTGCAGTTGGCTTTCACGTGTTGCCAATATTTCTCAAGGGCCTCGCTGGAGACGTCCATGAGCCCTTGCTCCTTACTAGCGGCATATAAATGCAGGATGGTTTCTGGCCTAAATGACGACGACTAATCAATTGCAGATAGGCATCGATCCATACAGCATATAGTTCATGCGGAAGAATCACCGGGAGGTCCATGACAGTTTCTGATTTGCGGTCTTCAGGGCTCCGGATGGGAACTTTGATGTAGTATGGTTCCTGATGAGCGAGCGAGGATATGGAAAAATCGGGGGGGCTCAGGGTTCCTTTAGGGTTTATCGGGTTTTAAGGTTTTGGGTATAATAAATTTTAAATAATAAGGATTTAACTGTTACGGGTGAGAACCTTACAATATGAGAACAATATTACACTTTGAATCTGGCCAAATCACTAGAGGGAGCTTCAAAGCTCTGAAGATGTCCCTCGAAACGTTCTGGGGATGCCGCCCCCACGCGCCTGCCTTCGCGATGCAATGCGTGAGGTGGCTGCCAGCACCGTGGGATTCTCGGAGCATGGCAGCAGCCGTCGCTTGGAGACCGCAAGCCGTGGATTCCTGGGATTGATCTTCAGGAGAACATGTACCCACATAAAAAAAAAATTAAGGCTAATTGCACTTGTAAGGTCTAGATTACAGACCAAGTACTCCAGTCGCCAAATTGCGAAGCATCACGTCGGCAAAGCTTGTATCATCTGCGAGGGGCAAGAGAATCAGTTAATGGAGTTGGAGTGTGGAAATCAAGACCGATATAGAGGATGTAGAGGATATTCGATGACTGGATACATTCGGGATTCTGGAATAAAGCTTCCCAGATTTAGTTTAAAGTGCTTATTCTGAGAGGCCTGATCGGGTTTAAGGTTATATATAGGCTAGATCATGAGGTCATATAAGTACGTTGTTTAGGGTTTGGGGTTTAGGGTTGAGGGTTGAGTGTTTAGGGTTTAGGGTTATATTGTTGAAGAGTTCAAGCCACATCATCCTTTTTCGCACCGTCTGCATCTGCGGCCACATGATCTATTGCATCTACCCCTTGCTGTCCTGACAGGCTTCAGCTAGAGAAGAATCCCAGATAATTATACTAAGTGGGGTCGGGTTTAAGGCTAAGGATACCGAACCCTAATCCCCAAAGCCCTTAAGCTGTAGATAGGCTCAAGCTGGCCATGCAGAGACAGCTTTCCAGACACAAGCACCGGCCAGCTAACATGACAGCTTTGAAACACATGTGCGCGATCTGTACACTAGATCAGTGACGAGCTTTGGCCTTCGCCTTTGATTTGCCCGTCGCCTTGGGACCGGCGCTGTTCCCTCCCTTCTTGGCCTGGTGGAGCTTGACGTGTTTGCTCGCGGTTTTGTAATTCGAATTTGCCGTTGACAGCAAGCGGAGCGCATCTTCGAGCTCAGCTCCGGTGGTCTGCTTTGCAAGCAGCTCCTGGCAGCAGTACAATTGTTGCTACGTTATTTGTATGGAACATGTACATGCATGTACACTCATTATATAGATTGTGGTCGGTCCTGCATTTGCTCCACGTACTGCTTCAGCACGGCACCATGGGTGTTCATGGTTGCACATAATGCATCCACCAGCTCCGGGCCCCTCAGACCGAACACGATATATCAGCGAACGAACCAAATGAATGATTGCACACAAGTTTCTAGATCTGATCATGACAAGTAGCACATTGTTCTTTTCCAATGCAGTCCGGTGCCCTTTGATCTCCAGGAGGTACGTGTTGCACGTCACCACAGCCTAGCAAGCACATACATGCACTTATACTTTCTAGCAATATATATGAGTGATTATGATCAATGCAACCACAAAGCGGTTTTGGCGAGCTGTTCGGTCGTCTTCGCCTTAATCGTCCTGGGGTTCTCCTTATTCTTGTTGTTCTTTTTGTTGCCGCCCTGTGAGTCGGTGTCGTCATCTCCCTGCTGCTGATCATCATCGGTGGGCACAAACGCATTGTCGGATGCTTTGCCTTCGCGAATGAAATCCATCTGGTACTTCTGCATCTGCTCTTTGGTTTCCGTAGCATCCACCCAGCATTTGAACAACCTCATCTCCTGCGGGAGGGGAGCGGCCAAGCGAACAAAAAAAAAACTACCTTATGATAATATGCGATCGAGTAGCTTAGGCTGTAGACTTTATCGCCGGGGGCTAGAAATTTAATCTTTATATTTAATAGGGCCGGAGAAATAACAATAATGATACTCTAGCTCGATGATCATAACGAACGTAACCTGCTAGGGCTACGCTACCCTAAACCCTAAACCCTACATAGTTAAATAATCCAAGCTCACTAGAATGCGACCGGTGCACTTTCTTCTGCGGGAAATCCGGGTGGTACTTCCACGAGAGGGGGTCTTGCTCCTGCAGTCGAGACAGCATCTATACCATGAAGGTTTAGACCTAAGTTTTTAGAGCTCCATAACAGCACCTTCTCTTCCACCAGTGCATCAACCAGCTTCTCATCTTCGTAGAGGCGGAAGAGTGCCTGCAGGGATCATGTTGTTTAAATTATATAGGATTGGGTTTGGGGATCACGTGGGTTTCGGCAGCCTTACGAGTCATCCACCGCCAAACATTCTGGTTCGAAGTCGCTTCCATCCACTGGTACACGGCTTGCACACGACTCGCACCCCAATTCTCGCCACTCATGACGAACTCGTCAAAGAGCTCATGAAGTTTCTTCTTGTCTGGGCGGGCACATGCGGGATAACAACGATTCCAACGACCCGATAATCCGGCCAATCCTATTATATTGCAACCAAGGAGCTTCTCTTGCCGTTCACGGTCAAGCGCTTCAGCTCGAGCGTGATGGCTAGTGGGCAATCGGGTCCTGATCATGAGTTAGATTTAGGGTTGAGGGTTTAGGGTTTAGGGTGTAGTTATTTCGAATGCAAGGTAAACGTATGCTATTAGAACCGCCGACTCCGGATCCTGTCTATTAAATTAAACGTGTCCTTCGAGGGATCTTGAGAATCGCATCCAGCAGGCACGGCCATTGGTTTCCTGCATGCCAGGGCCAGGGTGTTAAAGGAGTCTCCAGTTTATCACACATTTAAATCGGAAAACCCAAACACGTAGGCCTCCACAATTATCAAATCCCCCATCCCCCGGGCTACCCAAGCTCTGTAGCCTTGCAAACCAGATCACCCTAAAACTAAACCCGAGTTATATAGGACCCCGAAATGCTCTTAATTGCCTTAAGTAATAAGCCTTTTTCAGGGTCTCAGCTGGTGACGATTTGCGGGTTGTGGGCTAAGAGGGAATTCGGCTTAGGGTTATCGATTTGTGGTTTGATGGCATGGGGTTCATGCGTGGGGTTGAGTTCGGCTGTAGGGTTCTTGGACTTAATTAGATCAGGCTGTTTCAGACAAGATGTAGAGTCGAACAAGCAATATAATTTACCCCGACTAGCACACTACTATATATATATACTCTCTCTATATCGTCGCTATCTATCTATCTATCTCTGTCTATCCATTCATCATCTATGTATCTATCTATCTAATAAACTCTACTATCTATCTTCATTATTTCGACAACAAGCAGTACCAGCAGCAGCAGCAGCAGCAGCAGTAGCTGCAGTACGTAGCTATAGCTAGTAAAGTACACTGCTAGTCGTCGTCGTAGTTGTATATAACATTTAGAATATATAAGTATGTAGACGTCGTCATGGTGGTGGCGGTAGCAAGGCCTTCCAGACTAACCCATGAGCCGCCGCAGTGCAGATTCCCGCACTCGTTGCGCACCACTGTCAGCAGGCACATTAGCTCATCGCCCTGCTCAGGTTGCATCCCCAACCTGTTGGCCACGACAGTGGAGTGCCTAATGGCAGCGGCCCGGGTGCCCCACACCCGGCCATCGGTGTGGAGGGGTGACAGGATGGGTGGTCACCCCCCTTGGTAGGGCTGATGTGGTAGCAGCAGCATCAGCAGCAGTAGTAGCTGTATGTAGTTTAAGTCGTCGTCGTAGCCAGCAGAAAACGTAGAATAGAATTAGTGGTATATGCATATATATTATAAATTATAATTATATATATATATATATATTTTTTTCAATATCATAATATATTATATTTACTTTACTTCCCCCACGAAGCCTGGATATCCTTCGCAGCAGCCTCCAAGTCTTGCTGAACTTCCGGAGCAGGCTCAGCTGCAGCCCGTTGTGCCAGCGAGGGCGGGGCTGGGGAGTTCGGCCTCGTGGCGGGCAAAACCTCCTGGGGCGGCCTCTTCACAGGAATCGACGAAGGAGGAGGCATGGACTTGGCATCCGAGTGGACCTTCTCGCCATCGTCAGCCGACCTTTTCGAGGCCTCATCCTGGCTGAGCGCAATTTCCGGACTGGACCCTGATCCACCATGCTGCGAAGCTTGCAGGTTTTGCATCTGCTGGATGAGCTCTGCAAAATCGATGGTTCCAGGGCGTAGAAGACTTGCCTGAGTGGCACCCGGAGCAACTTGCTTCAGTGCCTCCAGTAGCTGGCTCGCCTGCTGTAGCTCCACCTTCAAAGCCGGCGCATCCGACTCAGGGCCACTGTTCTTGCTGGCAGATTCCAAGATCTGCTCCGCCTCATCGTTCGGCACCACCGCTGTAGGCACACCTGTAGTCGAAGAAGAGCCACTGTTCTTGCTGGCAGAATCCGGGATCTGCTTCGCCTCGTTCGGCACCACCGCTGCAGGCGCTAGGCTTGGGCCAGTACTGTTCTTGCTGGCAGAATCTGGGATCTGCTTCGCCTCATCATTGTTCGGCACCACCGCTGCAGGCACATCTGTAGTCGAAGGGCCACTGTTCTTGCTGCCAGAATCCGGGATCTGCTTTGCCTCCGGATCCATCTGCACCGGCACGTCCGAGGCAGGTACCTAGGCTAGCCAGTACGTAGTAGTAGTAGATAGTATATATAGCAGTAGCAGCAGTAGCAGTATAGTATTCGTAGTATAGTATATATAGTAGTAGTTGCAATTGTAGTTGTTGTAGTTATTATTATAATAAATAATAGTAGTATGTAACAGATAGTAGCATTATACGACTACGACTGCTGCTACTACTACTACTACTACTACTACTACTACTATAACTACTTACTATACTACTACTACTACTACTACTACTACTATACTACTAGTACTTACCATAGCTACCTGCTGGTACTACCTATACGACTAGGACTACGACGACGACGACTGCTACTACTGCTGCTATACAACAACAACAAATAAAACAACAACAACAACAACAACAACAACGCTACTACTACTACTACTACTACTATAATAACTACTACTACTACTACTACTACTACTATTACTACCCGTCCCATATACTAAACAACACCATATAACTCTATTCTCCATCTCAGGCTGGTGGCATCTCCGGCGCCGGTCGTCCTGGATCCAGCAGAAGTCTCCTGGAGGATTGGATGGCTAGATAACCCTTAATATATATAGATTAGACCGATAAACATTATACATACATTATTAGCGATGGCTCCTCAGGTTCCGTGAATGTCATCTGGGTCTCGAGGTCTTTACAAATCGCCAGGACATCAGGCTCAGGGTCGTCGGGCACGGTATCCAAGAAAGCCTCCGAAACGCCTTTGTTCAACCCAGCCACCTCGCGAGCCTGACAAGCTTATATGATGATCAAGCTTAGCTAGCTATATTACTAGTACGATACCTCCTGTAGTATCTTCTCTGTAAGCTGTATTTAGTGGTATATTATATAATGAATATATGCCTTAAGGGTTAGGTGGGCTCCAAGCTAAATAGGTCATATTAGGTCGCGATCTTTGGAATGGTAGCTTCACTTCCCCAGCCTGCCGGACCACAGCTGGGGTGGCAATCTCGGATTCCAGGGATCCAGTACTCAAACCTTTGCCGATACCTGGGCCCAATTACGTTTCATTCTAAATTAATATTATAATCTTACAGTACACATGATTGCACATGCTGGATCCCGGAGGTATCATGATCAGGTCAAGGAACCTTCATCAAACAGTGTTTTCTTCGGGGTCATGGCAACATCCTCTGTCTTGATCTGCTTGGGATCCGGGGTTTTGGTACTGGGGGTCACCGTGTTGGCAGGGCTGCTTCTGGGCTCGCGTGCTCGCTTTCCGGCTGCTGGTTCCTTCATCGGAGTCGCCAAGGGCTGGTCCTTATTTGCCTTGCAAGGCGAGGCCGCTGGAGCAGCTTTCGCGGACTTCTGCAGCAGAAGCTTGGCTGCAGCTTGGCGCCGCTGCCCAGCCGCCAATGCAGCCCGTGCCACCTGTTCGGCCGTTGTTTATTGTATAAATATCTTTAATATATAATATTTAGAACGTCGGGGCCTCCTCCAGGTCTTGGGAGTCGGACATCGAGAGGCTGCTAGGAAAAGCTAGCTGCACAGCTAAAAGCCAAATCCTGAGGGCCTCCCACGTCACGCAAAATCACGCGGAATCACGCGGACATTTCTGGGTTCCTATATGATCATAAGAGCAGGCAATTCGTGATTTCACGCGTTTTCACGCGTTTTCACGCTCTTTCACGGGGCCCCTGGCCCCCCCAAGCGTACATCACAGCGCAAAAAACCCTCCTATCGATCTACGCTTCCGAGGAACGCCTCGCGTGCCTGCTGCCACGCTATCCACTGGGGCTTGGCTGTTTAGGCCTAGCGGGTTATAAATTAGGGTTCGGGGTTTAGGGTTACGTATATATTATAGGTTAGGATGGCCATGGGTATAATTAGAATCGGCTGTGGGCTCGAATACATTCGGGGTTTGGTTTTGAGGACATCATGTGGTTTTGCAGGCAGGGGATAAAATACTGCGGTTTAGGGGTTGGGCTATCTAATCTGCGGATCAGGGAGTTCAAGGATGGGTGCACACACTTTGCTGCTGTCTACAGCAATGATCATAGATTATGATGACCAAACAAGGATTGTTGTTCGTCGTGGGGTCTGGGGTTGGATGCTTATAGGGTTGAAGTTGTGTGGGTCCCGGGTTTTAGCATCGAAAATGTTGCAAGAAATTCTAGCAACCTACAAGCCATTAATAATAATAATAATAATATATATATATATACACACACACACACATAGACCCACTACACATATACATATACATATACATATACATATATACATATAGATCATGTATATAGACAGATAACATCGAAACCCACCAAAATATATTTATAAATATATAGACTATATAGATAGATAGCACTCAGCTAGGTTATATGTACTTATTATAATATATATATATATATATGTATATATATATATATATTATACGGGCCCCCTAAGGATCTTGATACTGCTTTTACATTAACCACGGCTAGGCTAGCCGTGATTAATGTAAAAGCAGTATCAAGATCCTTAGATATTAAGGTCTAGACCTATCCATGCACCAGAGCAAGCCTGCTAGAGCGGATGTACTTTAAATTGAGCTTGCACTCGGACACTCCAGATACCTTATTAGTCTAGTATTTAAATGGCCAGCAAGCAAATCTAGAGGCTCCCCCGGGCAAGGGTAGCGAAAAGAGCCGGGTTCCATCGCCCCTGCGATTCCTCCTGATCAAGGAACTCCTCAAGCTGGGTCAGATCTGCCGAGCTCCAGTCAGGGGTCACCTTAGGATTCATACCCCACTAGACTATTTTCTCACTGGGTTGGGGTCAGTTCGAATTCTAAACTTCAGGGTTTTTTGTCTCCGGCTGCTAGGACAACTGCCGGGTTTGGGGTTTAGGGTTTAGGGAGTCGATCGACCTGGAAGTTTCGGGATCAGGCTGAGAGCTTGGGGGTTAGGGTTTAGGATGTAAACCCTTAACCCAAAACCCTAGCTAGAGTAAAGGGCTGAGGGTTGCAGGTCTAGGGTAGAGAGTTTAGAATTTAGGGCCTAGGGTTTCGGTTATAAGCCCTAATTAAACATTAAACTCTAAATAATCGCACTAAGCAGCTCTAGAGAATACACTATTTGTGCATATATACCTCGAGGCATTCGAGCATTGCATATGATGCATCGAAACTAGAATATGGATCAAAGCTTAACTGGTATCTTACGGGCCAAGTCCAAGAAAATCCGTGTTAAGCAAGAACCTGCGCACCCACCCGAAAACACATATTCATGTCACTTTTAGGATCCCAGCCAAGGCACGAGCTCCTCGGCGTGGAACTGGAGGCGGTCTGGATCGTCCTCGTCGTCGTCGTCGTCGTCGACGATCAGCGGCTCTTCCACGTTTGCCTTGGGGCGACTCTGTTGCATGCTGGCTCTAGACTTATTAGGGGAGGGACAATGCAGACACAATTAACATGAAGCAAAAGCACGATTTCGAGTTCATCCTTGTACTTCACGATGGAGTTGCAAAACTCAGTGGGGTAATGTTCGCTCCACTTCAAAGGTGGAGCTGCCCTGACTTTTTTCCTCCCATCCGGTCCAACAGTCCTGACCACCAAGCCACACCCAGCAATAAGTTGTTTGTCTCGAAGCTCCTTTCGTTGCTTCTTCGAAAGCTTCCGAGTGAACTTCTTCACAAGAGCAGACGTGCCCAGCAGCCTTGGTTAGATTTACAGACTCCTGTGATTGACCCTATAGAGCGATACTATGCATGGCATGGACAAGCGTCAGCTTAGCGACCACGTCGATTTCGGAGCAAAGTGTCCATAGCATGCCAAGTAGAACTTCTTGAAGTATACATGAGGTTGGCACTTTTGGATGACATACAGAAGCGGCCTGAAGAATCTCAACATCGAGCCGCCAGGTTGCTCGATCTTAGCTGGACCGAGCATCTCATGATAACTAGCTTTTACACTGGAGCCACAACCTACATCTCTAGATCTGAGTTGCAGCTATGTGTCAACCCAGCGTACATCCAGCACATGTGCTAACAAGAGCAGCATGGCTGTTCGTGTCGCGATTAAGTTGGCCGTACGGACCGTAGCCCGATTGGTGTTACCATAGGCCCCATCATCCGGCTTGCGCTTATGCACACTGCAGCTCATGAAGATCCACCTTTGCAGGCATGTATACTCGTGCAATACAGGCGCTAGGCTACTCGATCATGCACCTTGAACTGATCATGAGTATTGAAGCCAAATCACAAGCTGCATGGGACTGCAGCCCAAAGCAATCCGTTGCTCTTGAGGCGCATCACGTCCCTGACCTGTCGATGGGGGCCACGGCAGAATATTAATATATATATATATACATATATATATATATGTTGCTAGGGTATATTGGCTAATCTGTAATATGATATTATAGGATTTATAGTGATATATACTAGATCTATCTATCGATCTGTCTATCTATCCATCCATCTATCTATCTATATATATATATAAACCGTATCGTATCGATTCGAATATCTTCTTATTATATATAGTTTTCACTCATATATATATACTACGATACGTATATATAGATAAATATTTTACAATATTGAGTGTATTATAATAATTATAATATATGGACGACTCAGAAACAACACCACAAGCAAGGCCGAAACCGTGAAGCCCCAAATATATAACTCTAGATCTATATATACATATATAGATCTAGAGTATTTAAGTGTGAGTATATTTCTATAATATAACTATAAATATATATATATACACTATATATATGTAGTATATATATATGATATATGATATATATATATAGTGCATATATATATATAACTAATATATATATATATATAACCTGGACAGGAGTGTTGGCTGTGGTTTCAGGTTCGGGGGACCATAAGAACTAAACGTGTAGAGTAGCACAGGATCGCTTTGGCAGGTCTGATAATTATATAGGTTATCAAACTTGCCAAAGCGATCCTATTAGAGGTCGTGGGGGTTTTCAGGGATTGAACTGGCGGCTTCGGAACTTTAAGTATGCGTGGGACTTGATCACAGGGTTTCAGGGTTCTAGATTTGGGGCTTTGAAGGCTTTTTTTTTTAAGTAGGGGTTTGGTGCTACTTATTATAACTTATAACTTATGGGTTCGCAGCTTTAGAAGCTTGGCCAGGTTTCAGGATTTTAGTCTAGCTAAGCGCTAGGATTGGGGATTGAAGATGATATATCTAGGTCTATCTCAGGCCCATCCAACCCCGAAGCGACCAAGCTGTCGTTGTTAAGTCCAAGAGACAGCTGTCACCATTCCCAGAGGAGTCGTAATATCATTCGAGCTTTTGAGCTGGATGTCGTAGCTCTGCCTGGATTGATCAGCAGGATTAATTAGTTCCATCGATGCCGCAAACGGTATAGTGCTTCAGAGCGGCGCCCTGTACCCCCAGTTCCGAAAAGCTTTGGTGAGTTTGGCACAGCCAGCAAACATCTCGAGACATTCGACATCGCGACGCCAAATCTCTCTCCCGTGGATATCGAGAAGGTTAGTCTGGGCGATGTAGTCGCACATCTTGAGCCTAAGTTCACATGGACCGAGGGGTATGCACCATATGCATGCCATGCGTGCAGACACAAAAAATAGAACGTGTAGTATCGCAAGCGAAACACAGGACGAGGGGAGCCTTCAGAGCCACTAGCAGCTGGAGTCTTGCTCCACTCAGGTATACCGGCGGGCTCTCGTCATGGACTGGCGTGGGCAGAGACATGGCGGACGAATCAGGAGGCCTCCGGCCCGGGGTGGGCAACCATGAGTAGCAAGGGCTCCAAGTATGCAAATCGTACCTACTTTGGGGCCTAAAAGTCTGTAAATAGGACCTACTTTGGGCTATTTGGAGCCCTAGGGTAAGGCCTGCTAGATATTAGTTGCACATAAAAGCAGTGCAAGAAAAGATGAGATCGCAGTCAGACTTGAACAACACAGCACTTGTCGAATCTTCACATGCATCACCCACTCAGTGGCTGCACAAAAAATGAAGTACATGTTCCCACATGTTGCAGCATTGGCTTCGACATTTTGAATGCCCCCTGCGAACACAAGCTCATCACGAGGATCGCGGCGTGTTCGGAGCCGGCGGCAAACGGATTTGTACCTTAGGCTAGGCAACAGGAGGACCTAGATGGATCACGGTTTAATGCATACTGTGGAAGCTGCAGCTGCAATGGTTGCAATCAAGATGCACTAGTTTGGATCTCGAGGCCCCATGATCACCCCCAAACTGTCCTGCTGCTGTAGTTTAATTTAAGCTATCAATAGTAAAAATAATCATCTCCAATCCCTGATCGTGAATCATCAATCCTTTAAATTCAACCCCATATCCCTGTACTAGAACTAATAGCAGTCCTTTAAATTTGCACGGCGGTCACCCACCATCCAGCCATCCAGACTCATCAATCTGGATAGAGGTCTCCATACGAATCGCTGGGCTGCCATTCTCCTTAGATGCTGAGATCTAGAGATCTAGGAAGTAGCGATCGCAATTTC